ACACTTATTTCCTGAAATAGCGCAAGAAATAACACATACCCTCACGTACGTGTAAGGATATATGGGCATACATGCATGTTTGTGAACACAAAAATGTGTATTTATGCACAAAACGGTGTATGTGTATATTTCTGAAATGAAGAATATATATGATCCTTGCTTTTTCTTTCCTCTGTTTTCCCTCTGCTTTCAGGAGCTGTCTATGTCCAAGCCTTCCTGTGGTGCACAGCTCTTCATGGGCTTGGTTTCATTTGGTCCCTACTTCCTTAGCTGGCTCACTGCCCTCTTCATTTTTTGGTCTTGATTTCTTTCTTACTCAACTTGCCCTTCCCAGCTTCTTAATCTGTGAGATTTTATCAAGGCAAAGTATGTGCGTCTGTAGGACTGTATCAATGCTTCATTTCATTCTTCTGCCTGTAGGAAAATTCCCAGGCTCTAGCTCTGGCAGCCAGTACAGACATTCTGCCTTTCCCTAGATTTGAGTCTTCTCAGTGGCCTGCCCTTGTGCCCAGACAATAACCCTTACAAGAGACTTTTTCAATGATAGATTTTTTTGGCCCCACTTCCCTGCTTATTAATACAAACTGTAATGAACCAAGGTATGGTGAAGACAGACAGACATAAAAATACAAGTGATGCCTACATTGAAGCCAGGCTTTTGTACAGTGTGTGGACATGTCCTGAATAACTCCTAAGAGACAGATATGAAGCTTTTGGAAAACAGACTAACCTAGGGGAACTGAAAGGCCCAAACTAAGTTAGCAACTCAGAAAAAAAACCTCTGAGTTTTGAGTATTGAGCTCTCAAATTACTAAAACCCTCAAAGTCTTAAACAATACAGCAGAGGGATAGTTTTCATTTTCATGCAGTAAACAGCAGTTTCAGGAGTCACTTGGTTTCAAATGAGCTGTGTTTGACAGAACAACTCAAACTGAAACCAGAGTGGACTGTTTGTGAATGCACTTGGGCTGAAACTGAAGAAAAGCTTTCCATGAATTGCTATAAGTGGAAACTACTATGTTAACCTAGATGAGTGCCCTACTTCCCAGCTGGGGCACCTGTCTACTTACTCCCTGTGGACTAGCAGGAGCGTGGATGACCCTGAGTAAAGGGCTCTGCCTCAGATGAAACACTGTGAAGGAACTATCCTTCAAACACAAACCACTTTTTGCTCCTCTCCCCTGTGGGTTGGAAGACAGGGGAAATACAAACCATTCTGAGATGAGCTCTTTCTTTCCTCTGCAAGGTGTTCTTGTCCCCGTCCTGCTGATGCTATTGGGTTGTGCAGCCTATGTGGGCAGCAAATTTCCATACAAGCCATTGGCTAGACCTCCCTTAGCAGACCTCACTCATATCTTTTCTCCCTAATTTTCTGGCAAGTACCTTCTCAAGGATATTTTAGTCTCATTTAATTCTTTCACATCTTCATTTTTTAAGAAAAAGTAGAAAGGTTACAAAGTGCTTCCCACACCAGCTGATTTCTTGCAATCTGTAGCCATTCCCCAAAGCACAGCCACTCTTGGATTAAAAAGTGGGGGTAGTGTAACAATGCACAGAATCCTCACACCATCTTTATCACCACGTTGCTAAGGAAAATTGTATCTTGTACTGTAAGTCTGTGGCATAGCAAAGGATCTTTTTTTCTAAACTTATGGCAAATTTTGATTTTTACATCATTTTTCAAACTTGCAGAGTTACTAGATAGCTAGATATAGTTTTTATGTTTTCCATTGTTGGGTTGTATTTCTTTCTGATTAAGAATTTAGCTATTTGTTTCATGGAAGTTTGGGAACTTCTAGATCTCCAAGTGATTTCACTGTTAATTTTCATCAGAACAGACTCCAATGAATGTCAGTTGTTCTGATTTGTGCTGGTTGTTGCACACCAGCATCAGTGCTGACTGAATGAAATGGAAAAAAGCTCAAAGACTGACCACAGTGCTGTGATATGTGACTGCTTTATTGCTGCCTCTCTTACCCCATCAAATCCCATGAAATGTACCTGAAATAAGATATCCAGCCTGTTGTTGATCAGGCTTCACCCCAGGTTCTATTGGAGAAATTGTTTGAAATTTCTATGTGTTTCCTCACTACTGTCAGCAAAGTCACAAAGGGAAAATCTGGGACAAAAGAAAAAAAAGTCAAAACCCAGTAGTTTCTGCACAACTGGACTCCAGCCACTTCACCATCTTTGTGACTCTGCTGGATGTGCACCAGTATGTCTGTTTCTCTTGAACCCGGGGACCCAGGACAAGACTCAGCACGTCAGATATTTTTCACCAGTGCTGAGCAGAGAAAGATCATCTTTCTTGACCTGCTGGCGAAACTCTTCCTGATGCAGCCCAAGACATTGTTTCCCTTCCTTGAGGCAAGGGTGCATTGCTGGTGTGTGTTCAGTTTTGTGTCCTCAGCAAGATGTTTTCCTGCCAATCTACTTTCTGCTGGTCAGCCCCCAGCATATCTTTGCACATGAGGTTGCTCTTCCTCAGCTGAAGAACTTGGCATTTCCCTTTGTTTGAACATCATGATTTTCTTGTTGGCCCATTTCTCAAGCCTATTGAGGTCCCTCTGGATGGCAGCACAAATATCTGATTCATCTACCACTCCCAGTGGTTGCAACCTTGCTGTGGGTGCACCGTCACCCCATCATCCAGGTCCTTAGTGAAGAAATTAAGCAGTACAGATCCAGATATCAAAGCCATAATATTCCACTAACAACTGGTCTCCAGCTGGACTTTGAGCTGTTGGTCAGGGCCCTTTGATGCCAACAGTTCTGCCAGTTCTCAGTCCACCTCACTGTCCATTTAATCTAGTCTGTGTTTGATCACTTTATCTATGAGGCTGTTACAGGAGATAGCAATAAAAGCTGGGCTAAAATCAAGAGAAAGCCTCATTATGGTCAAGACTTTCAGGTCTGATTCTGCCAGGTGAGACCTTTTTTTTCCTGAGTTATACCATTGTTGAGGTCTTCTGTTCTGGAGAAGTCACTAAGACTATTTCTGTGCCATGCTTTATGAAGCTGGGCCTGAAGTTATATAGAAAGAAGGAAGGAATGATCTTGCATAGAAAGTATTTTAATACTGCTAAGTATGATCAGTTTACATAATAAGATTCAAAAGCAAGAGTTAGGCACAGGCCATTCATATTAAATATTTTAAATATAAAAATAAAATAAAATTGTTTATAGAATCAGGGTGGTTTGTTAAAGCTTTTGAAATTTAGTGAAGTTAGTATCCACAAATATTAAACATGTAGAGTTTACTTTTAAGAGGAAAGGCTCTGCAGTGGGCATTTAGCTAGATTTGTACACCTACACACTGCAGATGGTTTAGTTTTATAAGAGATGAAACTGCATTTGGTGGAACTGATTAAATATAAAAACACCACCATCTGCCATTTATTCTAATATAAAATGGTTTGGGCAGATGCTGACATCTTTTGAGATGATTGATTCATCTCTGACAAGTGAAGATTCTCAGAGGGTTCCAGCTGCCCACTGCTCACACAATACCCACTTACGAGAGCAGGCGGCAATCACCGCGCTGGTGGTTTGGATGTAGCAGGTGAACGAAGGGCACTCTAATAGCCAGCAGCCTGGAATTCTTAACTACAGCAGTGGAGGGGTTTTTTCCTTCCTTTTCACTCTCCCCCTACACTTCTGGTGCACATTAAACTGGAGGATATTTATGCACACAGTATACTGTATTGGAGCACAGCGATAACTGGAAGAGTGTCAATTTCTGGCACAAATAGCTCTCTTTCTTTTTTTTTTTAGAGTGGAAAGCCATCAGATACGCTCCACATATGCTATTCATTTTAAAATTATTTTTGCTAAGTGTCCATCAGGATTACATTTAAACTTCCTGGAATATTATTTATTGAGTATGTCACCAAATGCTTTGTAATAACTTAAATAACAGATGTCTATCTTGTTTTATTTGATAACATTGTCACATTTTCTACTGGGATATTTCCTTAGGGTAGTTTGCTGTAGTATCATCTTTTTTATAGGTTTTGCTCGAACTTTTAGAACACGCACAAAGAGTTATGGAAGAATTCTTAAAAAAATTCTCAGGACTAGACTGTGACATTCATACCCACACTGAATAGCTGATTGCACCAGCAGCAAGTCCTACTGCTGACAGACTATTTCTTATGAAATAAGGTCCTGACCCCAAGCTAGATTTGTGATAACTGCAGTGGACTTTTGGTCCATCTCCAAGTGGGAGAAAGTGCAGCATAATTAGATTGTCATGCAATAAAAAGCAGATCCAGTCAGTCCTAATACTGCAAGTATGTGAACTGCAGGACTTCTTCAGAACAGATTAAAATAGGATGCTCTTTTTGTACATGTTGAAGTGTAATCTCTGACTGTGTCCTCCACTCAGAAGTATCATATTGAACATCTTCTTCACTATAAAATATTAGTTAAAAAATTAAAATGGTCTGTTTATATGAAACGACATGAAAATGTGACAATTTAGTGTTGTGCTGGCACAGGATCACATGGCACATATATAAAAATTTGGTCAGAGGGATACTGAGTGATTGTACACTCATTTGAATGTATCTGGAGTAATTCCAATGAAGTCTGGAATAAGCCTATTGTACAGGGAAGTAGTTGGTGGTACAATATGGGTAAAAAACCACTCTGTGGGGCATTTTTTAACTATTGAGAGAATCTAAAAGCTACATAAAAAGTATAGATTCTTATTATTGGTACACAATCTGTTCTGCTCAGCTGTTACTGAAGGTAAGACTACAGAGACTGTCATTCATTGTTTAAAAAGGTAAGGGGTAAAGTTAAGTCAGGCAGATTCTCATCTGGTGTAAACTGGGGTTTGAAGTCAATGAAGCTAATCTTATTTTTTTATTGGTAATACACCTGGGGCAGAGGATTCAGAATTATTTTTTACAGTTCTTTTTATATTAACACCTCTTTTACTTATGATGTTTCCTTCATTCAGATATTCCCATTTACCTCACCCTCTTTTTCTCCAGGTGCTTTTTCTGTAGGAGGAGGCAATACAACATTTTGCCTCAGAAGAATCTTATTGGCCCTTCCTGGATACTGGGTTGTAGGAAGAACTGATGAATGCTCCCTGCTGTGAGAGGACAACTCTTCCATCAAAGAGAGTGACCGTGGTATTTCATCTAATGATCTGGGAAGCTGGGTGCTTGGAAATGCCTCTGCAGTTGGGTTTACTGCTGGGAAAGAGCGATGTTTATGTTAAACTCAAAAAGCAACACCTTAATTTGAATGTTCCAAAGGTTTGTTTTTAAACAATGAAAGAGAATCTGGAAAAGAAGTGTGTTTTGGAAGTCAAAATAAAAATCAGAAGCCTAAGGAATATAGAATTACTCAATATATGGAATGTATATTTGACTTCAGAGAAAGGAAATTTTTTCCCCCAGTTTAGCTCCTATTTCTTCTGATATAGAAACATTATACAAACCTAAAGTGTCTAATTCAAGAAGCAGGCACCAGAACCTTTATAATGCAAATGATCTGACTGTTCTATAGTGTCTTTCTTCCAAAAGGGTCCCAAAGTGCTATACAAATTACATGTGGCCACATGAATTAGTTCCCACACCACTGAATTGCAGGCAGCTCTGGGGAGCAGAACATCTTCCTACTGTTACACAGAGGCATTACTCAATATTTTGTAGTGTCAAGCAGAAAATACAAAGGAGGCAAAATAACAAAATAGCAAAAGATGAAGCAGATATTGAAATTAAAATTCAAAGAGGACTGAGGAAAAGGATAAAATTGGCTCCATGTTTTTCTTTGATTGCTTCAGAGCTGGTGATGCTAATATTGTTATTGATAGTTATTACTGACTTTCACAATATTTGTCAAGATCCTGGTTCCCAGGACTTGGCCAAGGGTATCTGGGCACGGCTTCTTGTTTCTGGCTCACAGACCATTTCTCTCTGCAGCCCTTCCACCTGTGTGTCTGAGGTTCCACAAAGAGGCCTCCTAGTATAAGGGTGCTGGGCTACCCTGGCCAGATGTGATTATTTCAGAGAATGCTCTTGGTTTTCCTGAACAAGGGGTGAGTTTGGCTCCTTGTGCCACCTGTTCCACTCCCAACCACCCCAGCGTCAAGCAACAGGGTTGACTCATGGAGCTGGAGCCTGGCTTGAATTTCCCTGCTGCCATTAGCAGGGGCAATCTCCTAGCTGCCGCTGCTCCAACCAGAGTCCCTCCAGAGGAAGAGGCACAAAAAAAAAAAAAAGGATGGAGAGAGAAAAAGAAGTGAGTTTCCCATAAAAACAGTTCAATAAAAATCAACAATACTCCAGAATCCTTAATTTTTTTATTTCTTTAAGCAAAATGATTTGGATTTTTTGTAAAAGTTTAGAAAAGGATACCTTTTCTTTTCCTTAGGCTATTAGCATTGAAAGGTGAAACATGAAAAATCCCTTGTTCTGTCTGATTTTTTATAATTTGAAAATTTTGTTTGACAGTGCTAAAATTTGCCATCATCTGAATTTTGAAATGAGGTTTTCTGTTAATAACGCTGAAGTATTGTCATTACAACTGCTGTTTCTCACCTGAATTCTGTTAAATGTTGTGGGGTTTTTTTCCTTTTTTAGTGGATAGCTTGCAATTCACTCTTGTAAGACATTATGTTGGGCTAATCATTTCCAGAGTCTGCCTGAATGCAGTGATGGTGACAGTGCTGTTCCTCTGTGCACAATAGTTCCTTCATTTGTGGGAGACATGCTTGGTAATTAAAAAAGTCTGTAAACAAAAGCTGAGGTGTAGCTTCTCAGCAGAGTGATGTGGAGTGACATTGCAGTAGATGATTAGTCTTGGGAGCAAAATCAATGAAAGCAGCAGTTAGTCAGATGTCTTCTGACATAATTTTTCCTGTGTGCAGGTGAAGTATTTTGCAGTAGTCTTAGGAGCTGTTGTTATTTTCTGCTGGCTCTAAAGTCAAAATTTGAAAAAATAACTGAAGGATTTAAGTGTGCTCATGTGGGTGAAACAGTTATATGGGATTTACACAGGAGGGAAAAATAGAAAGGGACAAAAATCTCATAATTTTCTCACCACAAACTCTCACTGAAACTTCCTAGGTTTTTTTGTTCCTGAGGACTCCTTTCTTCCCTCACATGCTGCTTATCTGGGTGAAGAATCATGGCTGGAATTTATAAATGCTTCTCTGTTGTGCAAAGGAGCTTTGATAGCATGAAATGAATAACAGGTAATGTAATAAGAAAAAGTATCTGGCTACAGCTTTGGAAATGTAAATTCTTTTATCAGTCCCCCTGCTAATTGGAATTTCTGTTTGTTGTTTCACATTTAGTGGATTTCATTATAGTTTCCTTGGTAATTAGATATTTTAACTATAAATGAAAAATACCAGACCAAAAAAACCCAAAGCAAAACAACAAAACCCAACCCCAAACTATCAACAAAAAACCTTCATTAAGATGCAGTCAAAGTCGTATATAGATATGACTTTAATTAAAATATTGTTAGAATGTACTGTTAAGGAAAACAAAGGAGACAAATGAGCCATAAAAAATTGAAATGTGGAAAAAAAGGACCCTATCCTGTCCTTCCCAGTCACTGCAAAGGCACTTGCCATCTGCACTGTGCTTGGGAGGAGTCGACATCTGAGCGAGAGCTTGAACTGGGGGCCAGGTCCAGGAGGTATTTGCTTCTCTTGCTCAATGTCCTGGTGGTGCCTCTTTTGGTCTGTCTCACTCCATTCAGTTTCAGCTCCAGCAGCAGCCAGCTCCCAGACTGATGGGGGCTACCCTGTCTTGTTTGGATACAATAGAGAAGGCGTCAGAAGAGGATTTTTGCATCATTTGTTATATGTCCATGTGGAAAAGTCTTCCCAAAAATAATGTTGCTCCAGGCAGGTGGAGAAGGGACTTTGTAGACCTGAGGAGTTTTTTAAATGGAAGGTCTTGTGATTTTTTTTTATGCTTTAGGGATTTTTAAAAATATGCGTGGTGGTAAAGGTATGATGGAAGTTTTTTTTAAAAAAACCTGTGTTCCTCTTTATAATTTCTTATGTGAAAAATGAGTATGATCCCTTGTACTCCTGTGCCCATAGCACAGAGGTATTCACAGACCTGCCTCTTACACTTTTATTGATACTGCAAAGCTAAGTGCTATTTAAAATGTATTTTGGAAGGCAAATGAGCCTTTCTGCATTTGCAGCTTCACTTTTAGAGGTGGGCTCAGATGTGAAGGAAGGAAAACTATTTCACAAAATGTTCATTCTTTCTGAGGCTGATTTCTGTCATATTAGCCCAAGGAAGGGAAATCCAAGGAGAAAGTATCATAGACATAGATTTGGGTCCAAACTTTTCACCAAGGTTGACCTCTGCTCTGTAAGTGAGGCCTGCCAGACAGAGGCAGTAGTGTCTGAAAGATTCTGAGGTCTAGATGCCAGTATGTGAAAGCAGTTTCTCTTTAGACAGGTGAAAACCCCCATCATTCCATAATCCCTCATTTGCTTATTTGTCCAGTGGGAACTCCCTCATTTATTAAGCTTTCAAACCAAGCTCTTTTTTTTTTTTTTATATTAGATCGATTTGTACTGAAAATATTAGATAAATATGAAATATACCAAAATCCAAGTGAATCAAAAAGAATGACATTTTGCTCTGACTGAAGGTCAGCAAGAACACTGAGTGCATTGCCATGCTCCTAGAATTGCCTTCTTAATTTCTAGTGTCTCTCTGCAACTCAACCTCCTCCCTTTTTTATCACCCTTTCTATTAGTTTAGTAATATGCTGTCATCCTGATTTTTCTTAATTTCGCTTGTGATATTACTTCTCCTTTTCCTCCTCCTATGGGAACAGATTTCTTCTGCCATATGCCCATTTAAACCTGATTGTAGTGCCTGAACATCTTGTGTGCTTAGCCACAGCATCCCTTGGGGTTCAATTGAGGCAGAGTATGTGTGTGACCTTTAAAGCCATGTCAATGTGAGACTCTCTCAGCACATGGGTCTTTAAAGCCTGGATGTCTTTGCTTTATACTAACAAATTTGACCAGCATGCCTTTTTATGAGGATATCATCATTTTGGGCAAATTCCAGGTTCCATATTTTAAATCAGCATGTGGAACATTTTTAAAATCTCAATTTCCCAAAGGTCAAGTTCCAGTAGATTAAAAATGAAAAAAATCAAAGCAGTTGTTATTTTACTTATTTATTCCAGCAAATTTGTATTAGCAACTACTTGAACATGACTAATTGGCAATTTGTAAAGTGGACTGTTCTCAGTAGCAAAGTTTTAAGTAAATCAATGCTGTAACTGTTTCCTTATTATGACAATTCTTAAAAAGTGTGACAAGGTTGTTATAGGAAACAGTGAAAAGTCCCTACATTTCTGGGGATAATAGATTTTGTATTAGTAGCCTAAGTAGTCTTTATTTTCACACTTTTTTTTTTTTTTGCATACACCAGAAATAGGACTGTGCTGGATAAACAGTAAGCTGCCCTAATAGTCCTGCCATAATAATGCTTTACTGTGCTGAAGTCTCATAAAATCTCTTTGGCTCAATGAAAGCTGTTTCACAAACATCCTTAGCTTGGATCTTGTGTCATGCCACAGCATCGTTGCTGAGCTTTGCCTTCCCAGAGAGTCTCTGACTGTTCAGCACATAAATTGTCCAAATTTCAGTGCATTGCTAATGTAGAAGTTCTTAAATATAAAAACTCAGGTGTGTCAGCAATACATATAAACCAAATTATTATATCACTTACCTTATGGGGCAACAATATGTGGGGTCTTAGGGTATTTTATTATGCAGCTTACTGGAGAGACTGACAGAAAGCAATGATTGATTTTTTACTCTGAAGTAGGAAAAAAATGTTAAATTTCAATTAAAATTGACAGTATATTATAGTAACATAAGCAGACCATACATTGTACATGTATTGAAATTAACCCTACATTACATAAGTACATAACACAGGAAATTTAGTACTAAAATGAAACATTTTAGGCTATGAAAATACATAATTATGACATCCATCCAAAGGATATCAACTTTTTCCTCAATAGTGCTATATATCATGCAATTGGATTTTGACTATTAAACATTTTAATTCACCAATTAAAGTTAGGCATTTCAATATTCATCTTCCAATTTAGCTTGGTTAGTTTCTTTACAAAATATAGGTAATGACCATTTATGTTACTTTCTAATCCTTCATTAAATGAGAATTCCTTATCTAAAAGCTCTTAGCTTTGAAATATTTCTAAATATAGAATTGGTCCCAAATCTAAGTTTTGTAGAGTTGAATGTTTTCTGCTGAAAATGTAGTAAAGGAGGAATGAATAGCATTTAAACAGAAGACAAAACCAGCAGCTGGAATTGGCAAATATTGTAAGCTGATTTTAGTCCTTTCCTTGTTTTAGCTCAATAGTGAGGATCTGGGAAGAGTAATAGCCTTTGTGGTGCAGATTACCAACAAAATTAAATGCTAGGGGACTTGTCACTAATGTTCCTAAATCAGCAATCTTTTCAATGCTAATCACTTTCTGAATCTGATTATAGCATATTTCTGCCTGAAGAACTCTATTGATTTTCCTCTTTGGAAGCAATTTTTGTGGGGGTTTCTCAAGCAGAGGAGCTTGACCAGCAAGTGAATCTTTTGGGAGGGGTAGGCTTTGTAGATTCATAATGTGTGACAGCCAAGCTCATGTGTGGACTGTTTGCCCTATTCAGCTACTGTTAAACTCAGAATTCCTGGAAACATCATCAAGTTGCAATAAAAGTACCACCCTTACCTGCAAACACTATTATTTATTTTAGTTTCCTACAACAATCTTTGAGCTGCATTTTTTTCTTATGCATATTCATTCATATTTCTTATTGCCTTGAAAAAACAAGACATATTTCTTATTGCCTTGAAAAAAAGGGCATCAGAGTTTGGGCTTTCACAGAGAATGACTAACGGGAAAGACAAACACCTCTTACTTTGAGAGAATACCCAGACACAAACTCGCCAGAGCACAGTTGCAGGTGATGTATAGGTGTGTGTGGGGGTGAGGAGTGGGTGCTTCATATTATTTGTGCATCAGGGTTGCCACAGAGAGGACCCCAGAGTGAGTGGCTCTTTTCCTTCTCCTTGTTGGCAGAACTCAGGGGGATTCTGGGGCAAATGAAAAGTGCTTGTGACTGGGCAAGGATCCCACCCTGCATTCAAGTGATAACACAGCTGAGTGACTGCATCTGCATCACAGGGGAAAATGCTTATGTTGTTGATACTGGCTCACAGCTACACTTTGATTTTACTTGCTGTCTATATGATGAAGTACAGTCAAGATTTTTTCTTCAGTGATAATATATTTTTATTTGATAGTAAATCAAAAGTATCCCGCCTTTTAATTAATATTATATTCTCCTACACATAATTTTCTGGTGTAAAGAAATGTTATCTACAAGGTCAAGGGCCAGAGAGAAAGATAGTATCTTGTAGCTTGAATTAATCTAAAGAAAAAGAAAATAGATTTTTAGAGAAGAGAACAATATGAGTCTGGCCTGAACTGGATCAGGCCCAATATCCTTCTGAGGAAGAAATAAAGGGCTTGAACCTTCTCCCACTGAGAGCAATTACAAACCTGCAGTTTACTATAATAGCTATGTGTGATAGGGCCATAATAAATTTAAGGTCTGAGATAATCAAGAAAGACTATGTAATCTTCTGCTAACACTTCTGAAAGACGCTCTAGAAAATGCTAGGCAGGGAGAGCCCTATACTACCTTGTTACCAGAATAAATAAGTTTAAGCCATTTGCTTGTTGCACTTGGCTATAACTGGTCCTATGAGCCTGGTTTTAATTTGACAGTGATTTAGACTGAAAAAGTTTTGAAAATAAAATTTATGGAATGACAACTGTGAATGCTGTAATGAGAGTGGGGAGTATGAGGGAAGAGGGAAGAAGTTTTGCAAAGATACCTGTTGGATTTTCTGTATAGTGCATATGAAGGTTCAAAGGCCATTTTAGACAAAGGTTCCCAGGTTGGTGTCCTGTTTTTGACAGAGGATGACAGGAGATGCTGGTGGATGGTACAGGAGCAGGACACTCCCACAGTGTGCAGTCCCAGCAATGCACAGCTGGGGCATTTCACAGCAATAATGTGCTCTTCAAGGAAAGGCTATTGTTATCCATTTAAATGTCTTCCGTAAACTCACCTGATTCAGAGCATTGCTTGTTCAAAGGCATTCA